CCAAATTATTGCTTAAAACGAACTAAACAACTCTAATAATCTGCAGGGCTCAAGAGCAAATATTTGATTCAGTAATTTAAGCATTTGTCGTCAGCAGCAACAGTACAGGCTATTACTCTTAATTATTATTTCAAGTGCCAAATTCAAATTATTGCACAAAGCAGAAGTCTTCAAATGTTGTTCAATTTGTCTACTTGCTATCTTCATTCTCTGTTCAAACGCACAACAAACTGCACTAAAATTTTATTTGCAACATTACTTTTTTAAGCAATGTCAAATTATTGTAGTAAATTGTCAGATTACTTGCTGTTAAATTATAAATACTAATTAAATTTCGCATCTGTACTATTTAGATTTTTTTATAATTATTTCTTATAGAAGTTCAAAAACCGAGACAACATCGAATACCACCATTACTATGGTTCAGTTTAATTTATAAAGCAGTTATACAACAAATTTCGCTTCATTTTTAGTTTTTACAATAAATAAAACTTAGTTATTTGATCATATTAGCAGGTTGCAAGTTCAGTCCAACTATAAAAGTGTTTATAAACAGTAACTGTTTTTTCATCCAAAATTGAATGTTTGTGCAAACAAACGAATTACAAAAGCATTTCTTCGAGGCTTTGTTATTCACGAAATTCGATGTTTTCTTGAAGAAGAGTTGGACAAATATGTAAGGTATTTATAAGAAACAAAAAGCTAATAGTCTAAGATTTACCTCTACAAAAATAGCTGTAACATAAAAAACTATTACTTCTGTTAAAAGTAAATTTTTCAACTTCTTCTTTTTGTTTTTTTTAACATATATAAGCCCTAAGACGCTATACGTGTTCAATAACTGCTTTGGTAACTATTATGAGAATGAGGTGAAACTGATATAGTTTTTGAGCTACCATCTGGACAGGTACAAATGCTGTATTCAGGTGTAAGCCTTTTAACTCGTGCATACATTAGTACCTAAAAAATCTCAATTAAAAGTCTAGCTGACAAAGACAAATCCACATTAGCATTCTTCTAAGACGAAGTCGTTTACTGAAGACCCCAAAATCTACTTTCACTGTCTTTAATCGTTTAAAATACAAATGTACTAGTAAACATTGATGAAATACAGTACTAAAGTTCAAATTAATAAACAAAAATCTTTGACAATTTAGAATACTATTCGTGCTTGTCTCCGACTTATAAATACTGTTTCAAAACACACTTCAGCTTAAAAACTGACGATATAAAAAATTTATTTTCTGACCAGGAGTTAGGGAAGTGAATACTGTTTCAAAACACACTTCAGCTTATAAAATTTACTAATCGCATTTTAGATCGTTTTGATGAATACCTCTGTGTTGCTCTAGAAAGTTTTCAAGCTGAAATGTGTTTTGAAACAGTATTCACTTCCCTAACTTCCAGTCAGAAAATAAATTTTTTATATTGTCAAAACCAGTTTTTGTCTAATGAAAAGATCACAGAGAAGCTGAAGAAGGGAATAGAATGAGTGAGAAAAAGCGAGTAAATTGGAAAACGTTGCTGGTACGGTGCAGGAATGTGATGAAATGTTTTCACACTAACTTTTTACTGAGCTGCTTGAAAGTTTCGAAATTGAAGAAAAGCAATAAACATTTTGCACTGAAAAAGCAATGCAGCTGACCTTTGCAGAAACTGATAGAAGTGAAAATTTGGCAGTGAACAATGGGCTTCGAACACTAAAGTAAATGAGTAATTTTAAAAATGTTGGCTTCCTTAAGAACTTTCATCTAGTGTCCAATAAGACACTTTCGTGATTCAAAATTTCCCTAAAAAAAATTTAACTTGATCAGAAAGGAAAATCCATTACCTGCTGGTACTCTACTTGACGTTAATTGTCCGAAGCTATTTTTGATTAGGCAGAAGCACTTCTGACTGCAGCAGACTAATCAAGATAAATATTAAATGTTTTTCGCTAGCAAGATTTGGAAATGGAGTAGAGAAGTCTAAAGGATATTTATGTC